AGTATAAAATAAAGTGCAAAAATGAAGACATGTTCAGTAATGTACAGTGTACAGTATGGTAAAAAATACATTTGACCTTCTTATACTCAGACAATTTGAAGATACATGTACATCAGCCAAAGGAAAGGAAACTACATTGTTCGGTCCAGGAAATCCACTACCTTCATGTACACTCCACAGAGTCCACATGCATGCATGACTTTGCATGTTTAAAGGGCCACTCTAACCAAACTACAAGAATACACCTCTACTTATTAATATTCCAGCCTCTGATTTTTCAGAAAATCGCTAAATTGACCAAAAATTGATTATAACCATCCATTTTTTATCTCACGCTTGCTGGGCTATGCCCGTCGAAAAAAAGGTAATACGGTCACGTAGCTTGATGACGCATTTGACGTCATTGTGGGCATGTCTGATTTGTCCTACAAATTAAAGGATCTTACAATCTTATTGTAATTCATAACTAGGAATGACGAAATTGCCAGAAACGTATCAAGTGCATAATATTTTTCGGATAAATGTCTTTTTTCTTCTTCAATTAATATCATATTTTGCCTTTTTAACAACATTTTAATGCCTAAATCAACCTCCTTTTCACAGGAGAGGCTCCTGTAGTGACGTCATATGCTATTGTGCAATACAGCTTCGAAACTGGGCTTTTTTTCTAAGCATTCTGAGTCGTCATTTTTAAAGCTAGATTCCAGAATTATTGATAATTTCTAAAAAAAAACTAATTGTCATGTTCGGAATCTTTGTCAAAAATTATTGTACATGTCTTTTTGTCATTTTTTAGCCCGTTTTGGTTAGAGTGGCCCTTTAAAGATAACAGTTGAGTAAATACTGGTAATGTACATGTACAAATGTACATTAACTTTGTGAAAGTAACTGTTTGGAAGCACTTGGGGGAAGCTTGATTATGTAGTACAGACATGAGTATTAAACATCAAGCTTTGGTTTGGAATCTTGATCAATATGATTTTAAAAAATGCACTGCTCAAAGAAGTGCACAAATGGGAGTCCCCCTATGTGGCATGAAAATGGGCTATTTCTCATCATATTTAAAATCTCAAATTCATGTTTGAGGGCATTTGAAGAGCATTTCTAAAATAATTTGTAAGCTTTCTCATTCTTTTTATGTTAGTTCGGGGAATATCATAGAAGAAATGTCTATAGTTTTCTCCCCAACTGACATTAGAAAGTAATGAGAAAGCTCACAACTTATTTCAAGAACTCAACTTTCTCTTTAAAGGTAAACCACTTACTTACCACATCCTCTCTCAGTAAAGGTTACTGATTTGGTGATAAAATGTTTTTTCCAATCTTGGTACATGTACCTATGTATTCAGACCTTATAATTCACTTTCCTTCACGTCTAGACCAGAGTCTACCAATGGATTTAGACCTTCTGTAGGGTGGAATTTGAAGGTACATGTACATGTAAGTCTAGTTAAGCACACTGTTGGTATTTGGTAAATTAGCAATTAACATCAAATTAATCCATGTGAATTAAAGACAAATCATTTCAATCATGATCTGAACTAATGATTTACGTTAAATTATAACCACAAAGGCACAAAGTCCATTAAATGTTTTCATTATGTCATAGCCTACAGTACATGCTCAATATGAGTGTAAAAAAAATGTTTACTGAATTACTTTTTCTCTCCATCTAGCAGCTAGCCCCTCCTTCCCCACCTTCTGATTCTATGCATGATATTGGAATGCCATATTTACTCACCAAGTGATTGTGCCAGCTGATTAGTAAATTTACTTTTTCTTTCCAAAAAACACACTTTTGCCATGCATGAAAGGAATTTCATTCATAAACAAACCAACCAACTTGGAAACAATGAAAATACGGACATTTCTGCCAGCTCCCACTTTGTGCACTGGATTGAAATTTGTATTGAGGCTCATACATGCCAAGAGTGTGTGGGGGTACATACAGTACCTATCAAGGCCAGGGCAAATCAAGTTTGCCAGTACTCTATTAGACAATGCAGAGTTCAATTCCAGGCTATGAAACAAGAGACCATGATTATTTTATGGGGAAGGTGTACTGTATGATCTTTATATCTATATATCTTTATATATTTTTCCCCCTTAATATTTTAGGTGTAGAAAAAAATGGATAGTACAATGTACTTTGTAGCTTGCACAAGAAACCATACATTGTAGATTTCGCACTTTGAATTTGACCTTTTGTACTTCGAAATTCATTACCGGTATTTCTCATTCTTTATAGACATTTCTTGAATTTCCACCAATTCTCTCAACATTTCCTGCTTGTTGTGGACTTCCCCTCAAGAGTACCATACTTGGCTCAACAAACTTGTATGGTTTGGGGTTTCATAGTAATGTAGCAATGTGTACATATAAAGAACATTACATGATAATATTAAAGAGAAAAATATTAGAACCCAGACTCTGGATTTTTTTACAATGATAACTAGATTAAATTAATTTATGCAATGTGATTTCCTTTAACTTTAGCCCTATATTTGGTATTTTCTAAAGTTTCCTTCAAATATTGATTTTTTTTTTTATTATAAATTATTATACATTATACATTATGCCTGTCATGCGAGTCTCTCTATTTTGAGTCCCATTTTCTTATAAATTGCCCAAGATTTTTTGATGATATGATTTCAGATTCATGCCTTAAATATGAATGTACATGTAAGGACTATTTACAAACTTGAACATTATGGTTTATTCTTGCAAAACACATACACCTGTAGGGTCTACATGTATATTTGATGTCACAAAATCGTTTCGTCACTCAAACTTACATGTTCTGCAACAATTAGTGTGTGACAGACTGCAATTATAAATGTACAGTACATTGATTTCAGGCTCTCAATTGAAAGCAGAAGAGAGTAAGACTAAGAGATCTGTATGAAGCCTGTTGACACAATTTATTCGCTGTACACAACCTACCATACATGTATCGGTATATGTAAACCCGAACCCTCATATGTAAAATGTAAATCTTGCTCCTTCAAACCATCAACAGAAGAACTCAGAGTCCATGCAAGCATATTCGTCTGCTGTCAGTTTAACAGCTAGAGGTTAATTATACCCAATTTAATATAGATCTACTTCACTCGATGTCACCAGACGATGTGAGTAAACACAGGGTGACATTCCTTCTGTAGAGCAATAAAAACTTGGGAGTAACATGTAGGCTATGCAGGGGGTAACTGCAGGGTAAACAATCATTGTAACACAACAACTACAGGTCAAATGCATGCTTACAGCAATTTCAGTAACTACCAGTACTAGAATTTGTTTTCTTCAGATATTTCAGTTCACAATACAGACAAATTAAAGAGTGCATTAAAAATTGATCCAGGTATTTGTAAAGCTGTTGTTCCGACTTCCGAGCATGAAGAATAAGGGTGTATTTACACTTCATTGTCATGTTTGAAATGCAAAGACAACAGCACTACAAAAATTATGAATAAATCCTTGAGAGATGAGAGTTACTCTCTGCAAATTGACCTCATTATTTTCTACCATCATTAAGTTAATGTGAAGGCCTAAGAAAGTAAGAATGGAGCAAGAAAGTGCTCTAGAGTGAAGAGATGTCTTCCAGTGTTTACCTCATAAACGTTTATACCTACAATATGAAAAGCACACGTTTAACGCAGCATAACATCCAGAGATAACTTGATGTTTATGCTATACAGTCCAGCATGACTTTTACCTTGTGTCTATAGCATGTTCACCTTTTGTCCTTAGAGACGTGAGCATTTTATACACTAGACAAGGTCAAGGCAAGGGGTGACACGGCACAACCTCTGTAGTACATTACGAAGCGTATTCGGTAGAATTCAAATGACCTTGGGCTTTGTAAAAGCTCATTTTCAATTAAAGGGAGTATAGACTGATGAGATTACGTGTCTTTCCCGTGGCCTGATTCGAGGCCAATCGGGTATAATACAACGAATACGAACAACGCGACCGCAGCAATCACGCGCGTGCAACATACCGTTGTTGTTGTTCTTCTTCTTCTTCAAGATAATCTGCCTCCTTCAATACTGACGATTCTTGCAGATGCCGTATACTCGGCCTGGTTGGGGTATGCAGGTGGACCATTACACCGGGGTTTCCCCCTACTCTTATACGAATAGTGCAAATGGGTTCTTAAGGTGCAAGGGTTGTGACTCTCCTGTACACGGGGCCTCCATTTAACGTCCTATCCGAGGGACGGAGTGTTTTCCACTTGACATAACCTGCATCTATGAACAAGGGAAGGGGCACGTTAACACACAACGCAGGCTTCAGTCATCCGCCTGGGTGGGAGTCGAACCCGGGATCTTTGGTTCGACATGCAGACGCTTTACCGACTGAGCCAACTTAATCAAGTCCATCCATTTACATGCAGTTGTCCTCAAAAAGACGTAGATGGCGTTAACCAGTATTTGCCAAGATACACTCCCTTTAAAATCGAATCTTGACCATCGTTATTTATGAATTATGGCTATGCCTGTGTCTTGCTAACACTACTTGCATTTTACAAATACTAGACTGGATCTGGATCTGTAGGGCCTAGCCCTAGACGTAGACAGACTGTGCACTGTGTGTCATGTCTGCAGTGTGAAGACAATCACAAAGATTTTTCACAAGATTTGATTGAATCTTAAAAATTAAGGCTTAAAATTCATAACAACGGTAAAATTGGCATATTTTTTTTATCAACGATTAGGGGTCTACGCCATGCACTGATGCAGCATGTAGGCCTACTGCATACACCACTCTCCTGACCGTTGTTAAAGATAAACAAAAAATGACCCAAGCCTCATTGAACAAAATAATGCCATTCGTCTAGTCTGGACTTTCTCAGTACACTTTACACAGGTAACTCGATACCACCGCTACACAACACAGACATCAAACAGTCGACCGTTGGTGATGCATGATAAAATCATAACCATTTAACAAATCAATTAAAAACCACACATTCTAAGTAACACAGAAATCGAGGATCTTACCTTTTCTTTCGTTCTGTTTATACCCTTGTGGAAGATACTTGATTTTCTTGTCTGTTTTATCTCCGCCATTTTGCTCTGTCTCTGTGATGACCAAATCGCAGCTGTGCGTGCGCGTACGCGATCGCCATACGTGCTGCCCATATTCGTAACGTTGAAAGAACAAGCTCCGCTATCACTGTGCATACAGAATGAATGAGTTTTCAGTATACCCTACTCTAGCGTCTAGTTTCCCCGGGAGCAGCCGCAGCGAGAGTGCAACAAAAACCGCTGTTCACAAAAGACAGAGGAACTATTCTCGTTTAGTAGGCGGGGCTCCGTTCTCGTGATGTGATCTGACAGAAATAATCAGAGAGGGGGAAGAGATAAAGCAACCTGGGGACCCATCACTGATCTGTAAAGCTAGCTCAAATAATTCGATGAGGGTGAATCATGATTGAATCGACTCAAATAAAATTCGTGATTTTGATGGCAAGATTATAGGCTTCCGGCACACACAAAAAAAGGATTTACCAACTGTTCATAATGATGAATTATTGCACAAAAACTCTTAACTTTTGTTGTTGAGATTATCTCTCATCACTATCGTATATGAATGGGGCATGTAAGGGGAGGGGGTAGTTTGCCCTCTTCACAAATTTATTCGCTCGCTATTAAAGGGTTGCTAATAAAAACGAAATTCTTAATACAAATGAACTGAACTGAACTACAGTAAAGTATAAAGGCCGCTCAACTCATGATAGGGGCGGATCCAGCCGGTGGCAGGGGATGGAGCCAAAGAGGAGGCCCAATTCGTGAGAAAATTTTTATCGGCGAAACAGGCAGCCGGGGAGGGGGGGGGGGGGGGGGGGTATGAGCACTCATTTTATTTTGTTTGCCCCCCAAAAATTGAAAATCGCACCCCCCCCCCCTTTAGCACCAGGGGAGGGGGCCCGTCTTCAAATATAATAAAATTAACGTGTTTTTTTACCTGTTTTTTTTTCTAGGAAAGAGCAGTCCCCCCCCCCCCCCGTGGATCCGCCACTAGCTGACTCATGAGACAAGAAAAGGGTCTTGAATATTAGGCAGGTGGTAATGACGTTTGTGTTCCTTTATAGGCCTATAGGCCTACTTTCTTCAATGTAAATCACCATTCAATAAATGAAATATGGTCTTTCTATACCGGTGGTCGATATTGACCTAAGACAATTCGCATTATCGAGCAACAAATGATATCATATTAAAAAAAATCAAAAAGTTTAAGCCCACACCACTCGAAGAGACCAGGAATACCCCCCCCCTTTTTTTTTTGTAGGCCAACATGCAAATTGAAGCCCAGAAAGGGTGTTTTTTGTGTGTGTGCTGAAATTAAGACATGGATTATTGGGTCGGAATACTCGGATATGTTATACCGTCTCATCAAAACAACTAGGCACCGACCTTTCAGTCCTCATCCCATCGGCCACCGTTCACATCCCGGTAATGAGCATTGGATTTTGGTATAGTAAACACTCATTGAGAAAACAAAGAATACAATAGAGGCAAAACTTCATAATTTACCACATCTCAAAATATATTGCGCTTTTTGATACTTCATGCAGCCACTTTCACTTTTTTCCCCGAAATGGTGGGAGGGGCGTTGGATGGACAGCCCACGTAAAAAAAAGTAAATAAATTATAGATTCACTGCAAGTTGATTTTATTTTTATGTGATCTGATTAAATTCATAAGTACCATCATTTGTAATAATATATAGTAATGTTATTAAGAAGAACAAAATTGGTTGTTAACGGGGTCAGATAATAGCACATGATTTGTGCTAACCGATCCTGAACATAAAAGTTAATTTTTGTAATCCAGCAAAAGTCCAGCAAAAATTGAATTTATCATTGCAATCGATACTAATAAAGAAAAAAATACTTTAAAATGTATTATTGCAGTTGATTTGATTTCTTGATTTTTGATTTTTTTTCTTTCTTTCTTCTCTTAATCATTTTATTCATATGTAGGAAACAAATACTATGATTTTTACAATATCAAATCAGATATAGTAAACATGAAAGAATGATAATGTTTGAAATTGTATACAATATAGGCCTACAGACTATTTGGAAGGATTTTCTTTATAATTATACTTGTATGCGTTGGTTAAATGTTCTGTTTGATTGCAAAACTGGGCAAGGGGGCGTATGTAAGCTACACTCTACAAGCATGACAAGCGCTGTTCCTGAAAAGCATGTTCATGTAAATGATTAACAATAATCTTATGCCTGCAAAGTTTGGAATGATTATCTGAATCAATACCTCTCTGCACAAGAGATGAAGTAGCGCCAGCTGCGGCAGAAGCACTTATAATTATTTTGACATTTGAAAACTGTGGGTTTGCTTTACTCGATGACTCAGGAGGAACACTTGACCAGAGGGAAATGGCGTGGTGGAGATCTCTTCATTGAGATTTCACTTACCGCAGGGGCGGCAGAGCAACTTCCAAAGTGTGGAGGGGGGGGGGGGGGGTGGGACACCAACCAAAAAGGCACTTTCTGGAAAAAATGGCACCTGCAAAGACCAAAATATACAATATTTTAGACATTGGTGTATACCCCTACATTGGAAAAATGTAAGATTTGTGAGGTAGCAATGCACAAAAATTGCATGTTAAGAGGAAAAAACCCAATCCTGATGGGGTTATAAGCACATTCTCATAACGGAAGACTGAAAAGACCTTTGATAAGTCATAAGTAACATAATTATATCAGCTATAAATGCGAGCGAGCTTTGGAGAAAATTGCTCTTAGTCACTTTAAATTAGGGACACGTCTAATGATGAGAGGAAAAGTGGACACTCATTAGAAAAGAAAAGGAGCACGTGTCAAAGTACAAAGGGTAATTATCGGAGCTGAAACGTGGCACTCACCAGGAAGGAAAAAGAAAAAGGAATGAAAAAGGGGCACTTATAATAAATGAAAATGTGCATTTGTTGAAAGAAAAGAGGCACCGATTAGTTTTCAATAGGGGCATTTATCGGAGCTGAAAGGGTGCTTTTATGAGAAGGGGGTAGTTGCTCTTATTAAATAGAAAAGAGGCACATGTTAAAATAAACGGGGCACTTATCAAACATGAAAAGGGATAATTATAAGAATGAAAAGAGGCACTTATAAGAAGGAAAAAGATGAATGAAAAGGGACAATTTTGGTAGGTGAAATGGAGCATTTATTAGAAGGGGAAGGCGTTCTTTTTAATGGGGGCACTTATGAGAAAGGAAAAGGGGCACTGTGCAATTAAAAGGAGCACTTATCCGAGTTAAAACGGGGTAGTTATTAAAAGGGAAAGGGGAACTTGTCAAAAGTAAAGGGGCACCTTCAGATTTGAATAGGGCAATTATCAGAAGTGAAAAGGGACACTACTCTTATCTGAAAAGGCACTCATTAGAGATTAAAAAGGGCACTTATGAGAATGGAACATAGAAACTAATTGCAAAGGAAAGTGGGAACTTGTCGAAGGAAAAGGGGCACGTGTAAACATAAAAGGGGCACTTATCAAAGTAAAAGGGGTACTTTTCCTATGTAAAAAGGGGCACTTCTTTACAAGTTAATGGGACAATTTTCCTTTGTAAAAAGGGGCACTTTCTGGGTACTTAAAAAATGGGGTCATTGTACCCCCGCCGTTTCTGACTTACCATCATGGGGCGGGGGTACCTTAAGTTGATGAAAACAATGAGAGATTGTTTAAGGGCTAGTATCACTTTCGCACGTTCCGCTTACTATTATTTCCTCTCCTTCTACCCCCCCCCCCGATTTTATTCGACCGAACACACATGTCCTGTCCCCGTGACTCCCCGCACAACTACGTAAATCGCCGGAGACACTATTGGCGAATTTCGGTCATGCTGTTTTTTAGGTAAAATTCTAAGAAGTATATAATTATTATTTGCTTTAATGTTGGCTCTATCAAACTTAACAATGTCATTTACTAAATTACTCACTGCTACATTCTTCATAATATACCAACAATTTAAACATTATTTAAGGAGCTTAAACATTTTCTTTCAAGGGTAGTAGTATCCTACCACAAAGATTAATGGACAACAGTACTTACTACCTTAATTCACGTAATGGAAGAAAATCATTGGTCTTGTTCGTGATAAAAGCTACTCGTAGCCACTGACGTAGACATAGTGGCTTACTGATGAGGGGGCTTTGGGGGGGGGGGCAGTCACCCTCCCCCAATATAATTCAAACGTGGTTTATTTCTAATTCGATACCAAGTAATTTACAAATGTTGCTGAAATGACTTTCCACGTATTTTTTTCTTTCTGCCCCCCCCCCCCACCCCATAATTATTTTTTGTTATCATTTCGCCGCTGCTCGTAACCCCTGGAGCCCTCACAACCCCACATTTCTTCAAGACCTGAGCATTAGGGCCGAGCATATTCCATCCCTTTTAATAACGCTCCGCGATTCCTGTTTCTCCTCGTCCCCCCTCGCTCGTCCCCCTCCTCCTCCTCCTCCTCCTCCTCCTCCTCATCCTTCTGTTTGTTCTTGTTCTTCTTGCTCTTACCCTTCTTCTTGCTCTTCCCCTTCTTCTTCTTGTATTATTATTAATGTCTATATAAATTTACAGTTGTGAACAATCATTTTCTGGTAGCCTTTTAGGTTGTCAGCTTTTGTAAGTTTTGCATCGGTCATTCGTTGCATCGTTAATAACAATTCGTGTGTATCGAAATGTATATCATTTGACGAATCAAACCAAACGTAAGTAGTCTCTTGTAAAAAGAGAACATGCATTATAACACTTTGCTGTTATCTAATATGATTGTTTGCATTATTATCGCTGACCAGAATACATGTTAACTTAAAGTTTGTGAGAAAAGGTTCTGTTTTTTCCATCCATCTAATTTATAAGAGGCCTGTAATTTTTCCAAAACTCCATCCCACATTTCTTTTATTCATTCAAAATGCCAGACCCCCCCCCTCGAAAATGTAATATACGTCATCAAGGTGAATTGAGGTGACCCTTAAAAAAATGATGAGATTTTATTTTGTACACGCGGTCCAGTACAGACCACTCTCTTGTCAACGTTCCTCATATCGTCTACTTTACCCTTTCCCCGTCCTCTCTTTCTTCCCTCTTCTCGCCCCCACCCCTCCTCTCCCCCTCTCTCTCTCTCTCTCTCTCTCTCTCTCTCTCTCTCTCTCTCTCTCTATCTCTCTCTCTCTCTCTCTCTATCTCTCTCTCTCTCTCTCTCTATATATATATATATATATATATATCTACCTCAGTTGTTTTCTACCTCACTATCTCTTTCTCTCGATATTGTACTCACTCCATTCTACATTTCT